GTTTCCTCATGGTGAGTCTTTATAATGGCTTGGTACAGAAATCAATTACAGTTTTATAGGGGTTCTTGATCCCTTATGGGGAATTCATCAAGGAACACTTTGCATTTTTACAGGTTTTCAGAAATTAGAGAGCAGAGAAAATGTCTGCGCCTCACGTGGCGAAATGTATACATGTACAAGATCTTTGTAGTGTCATTATAATAATGATGATGATCACAATCATGGGAAAAGTGACTTCAGTTCAGATCCTGCTTTAAAAGAGTAAAGTCCACACAGAAGCATGCATTGAGGTTCTCTTTCTGTGTATTTTTGGAGATTGTATGAGCGACTTGGTAGCCAACATTCATGGCTGATTTTCTATTTCAATTCAGATCCCAGACCAATTTGTTGCAGCCCGTAGAAACACGCTCTTTACTATGCATGGCGTTCTAATACCCTCGGCCCTTTTTGGACAAAAGGCAGAGTAGAGAGCCAGGGGCATTTCATTTCATGCTCTGCCTCCTCACCCCCAGATGTTCACCTGGAAAACATCTCCACTGATACAGGTTGAAGCTTAATGGCCTGCAAATTGCCCCGAGCTCAGGTAATGAAATGCAACCTCTGTATAATTTTAATTGAGAACTCTGGATGGAAATCAAATGATAATGTGCTCCATGCTCGGGAAGTTTTCAAGTAACAGTGAAATTTGTGCCCGGTGTGTTAGTGCAGCTTGGGCTAAGGCAAATGGCTTTTTCTTTTTCAGCCTCTCCATTTTAATTGTGGATTGCACGGTGTAATAAACGGGTTGGTCATGACTTAGCATCTGGTAAATGAAGCAGAGGATGTACACACCTCTGGATGCACAATGGTGCTCCATATTTACAATTCAATCTGACAGGGTGCCTATTAGAAGCCATAAAGCTGCTCAAGTGTTAGATAAGTTACCCTCAATAACCCCCCACTTGCCTCGACACAGACAGTGAGTGTGTATGTGTGACACACACACTCAATTCCTTCTCTAACTGCTGTTCAGTCAGTGTGTCTTCATTTATTTAGCTTTTTTTTTCTACCTCGGATGTTGTGAGTTTTTTTGGATAGTGACCTTAAATGTAATTACATTCTTGTTTCAACTGTTGCATTAACTCAAACAACCAGCAGTCGAGGAATGAATGAGGCAGGGAGACGCTGGAGGGACCCAGCAAGGTTGTTATCATAGTTTCTACGAGGTAAGCTCTGATACCATCAAGTCCTCATCAACCACTCATCTCAGCTATTTGTCTAGCCAATGAAGCACTTTTATGTAGCTTGTTTTCTCCTGAAACTACCCTGCAGATTTAACTTAGTGTGTTTTGGGATTTTTGATAATAACATGATGGAGGGCATGTTAGGACAGCAAGGACAAGGCTTTTAAAGGGCAAATCATCCCTGACAGTGTTTGACATGATGAAGTGCTCTTGTATGAAAGCTTGCTTGGTAATAAAAGCTCACAGAAAATCTCCTGCTATCTCCTAAACTGCACAAGTTTCAGGTTTACAAGTTACAGGCCATTTCTGCACCATGTATTATTAAAGTAAGCATTGTCCGTGTCATGTTTTGAAAAAGAGCATCCGTACTCACGGCTGTCTGCTTGCTATTGCCTATGGCACAGACCTGTAGTGGACTTAGTAAGCAGAGCCCACGCAGGCTACTTATCCTGGCTTGCAGATTCTCTGGATTAGCGGCTACATTTCAGCCCTGTAGGCTGGGGTGGCTGCTGTTGTTTTTTTTGTTAGGTGACATTTACGTGGCAGCTGCCCCTGGCTGAGAAATTACACCCCAGTTAAACAGTTATTCAGGACCTCGCCTGAAGCACTGTGCTACAGCAATGAAATCCAGCTGACTAATTGTGACTTTAACAAACTCCAAAAGTGACAAAGTCCCGCTCCCCTCTGTCTGTGTTGCCTTCTCAGGTACGAAATTCACCGTTGAAGTCGGAGAGAATAAGTTTGTGGTTAGAATAAGATCATCGACTCTGCACTGTTAGGGTATAAAGTGAAGTTAACATCCTTTAGTAGCATATATGTAAGCATGCAAGCATTAGAGTGTCTCAGATGACCTTACATATGTTTCTCTATGATTTACTCTCTTTGTTGTGTGTCATATGCAGTAGGTTGCAAACTATATCACCAGCTGGCCATTATCCTAGCCTGTCTGCTACTGGATGCTGGCCTGGGTTGATGGATTGATTTGACTGAACCAGAATGGTTAGTGATCAGTGGCAGTTGTTTTTGGTAATACATCTCTTCTGTTACATGCTGTAATCTTTTCCATCCGAAAGTGTCAGTAAGGGTGACTTCATATCGGCGACTACAGCCTAGTTATATGGAATAAACATGAGAGCTCCATCCATCCCTGAGTGTTAGTAAACTAGATTTATAACACCAGTCTGTTTACCGAAAGCTGGTCACAGTCAACAGGTGTCAGTGATGCAGACATGCTGCAGGTGCACTGCACTGTGGGATTGGCACAGAGGACTTTGAGGCAAACCAGATGTTGTCAGACTATCAAATGAAACCCCACTGCTACCACAAGTACGACATTTTAACTTCAGTGACAATGGAATGATTGGAAAAAGGTGCGTGTCTTTAGTTCAAGCTCAACAGTGTAAAATACCACTCAGAGACGGGCCTGTGAACAGTTGACCAAAAAGCAATTATTAGACAGCAAATGGCGTGTCTTCCCGGCTGTCTCATCTGACATGAGGTTCAAGAGTGCAAACTAACTGAAGTACTGGCATCATCTTCAGACACTACTGCTTATTTGTCACCTGTCTCGCCTTTCCCAGATGTTCATAAGAGTCCCACTGATGTGCCCGCTCTCTTTTCCTCCACAGTCTACTCCAGGAAGAGGATGGAATTCGTGCCTGAAGTTGACTCTCAAGTATGTTTCACAGGTACACACACACGCACACACATACACACACACATAGATATGTACACTTAGAGCGAGGATGGACCGTATTCGATAGGCTCCTGACAGGCAGCAGGTGATGGTGCCAGGGCCAGCTGCTTCTGCCCCACCTCTGCTCAGCTGTCCGAGCCCAGAGCAGCCTTTGAACAGCCTATTACCCCGACACAGCACCGGGGGAAAGCAATCAGCTCCAGAGGTTCACCGCTCTCACACCAGATGGTGCGGGAGATGAATCGAGCCATTATATTAGTGCAGGATAATTCCTCAGATGAAGCTAATTAAAAAGAAAAATAAGTGCTATCCACCCTCTTCTTACCGTCTTTGTAATCTCAACTAAAACTCAGCTGACACTCTTTCACTTCATGGAAAAAGCGAGACTCAGCCTTGTTTGAGGTTTCTCTGTTTTAACTCCAAGTGTCAAGAAATGAAAAGTGTCTTTATACAGCGAGATAGCCTGGTTGAAAAAACACCTGTTCTAAAGAAAAATGAGTGACAGCACAATCTGATGCTGGTCTTCCAGACAGTAAAGGATGCTGTTGACAAAGCAGAGCGCTTAACAGCCTGGATCTTTGACAAATATATTAATCAAATATTTAAAGAGAAAAAAAAATTATCCAAGGATGTTATCAATTTATGATATCCCAAAATGTCTAAAATAACTTTGGATTAAAAACTTCAAGCAGATGGATTTTGTGGACACATTTAGGGAAAGAATTTAAGTGTATTTGAAAACATCAAATTCTTCTAACACTCTCTGCAACCTTAAATAGTTCAAATTTCATTCCTGTTATTTGTAGAGAAAGTCAAAGGCAGCACCCATTATGGATCAAAAAGGTGAGCATACCTTACATGCATCTCTCTTATTTAAAAACTGAATGTAATTCAAGTTCGCACGGACAGCCGTGAAATGAAGTTTTCTCTTGAATTGTTTGTATTCACACCTTGAAAAATACCTCTGAAGAAGTCTTTCAAAAAGCTCGGTAAATATGGTTCCTGCATTGGCTTAAGCCCAGCAGACAGAGATGTGCGACACCAGAATGTGAATCTCTGTTAGCTTTAAAGGATTTAGGTAAACTCTGAAACAGTGCTTATTGCTCTCTTATCCACTTTTGTGTTAATGAAAAGCATGTCCTGAATCTGTCGGGGGAGATTAGGTGAATATCATTACTATTGTCCTTTTGCCAATGTAGATTCACTGTATCCGCAGGGATTATAGTCCAACCCATCCCACTGTATTACCTCTCTCTGCCGAGGAAACTTGAAAAAAGGTTGAGCAGATGATAAGGAGTCCAAATCATGTGTGACAGGGAATTCAAACTACACCAGATGCTGAGAGGTAGTTCTCATTTTAACCTTAGAGACGGAAGCTGGTGTCTCATTGTCTTGAGAGGGACTGAATTCTGGATGAACTAAGGGGGTCTTTGACTCATTGGCACTGGTAAAAAAAATTGACTTTGGTGTTTGGATGCCCACATATAGTTGATCTAACCAATAAGGAGAGTTTTGGTTGGTTGGTTCATTGCAGAGCTGTGCCTTATTTGCAGGTCTGTGTGTCAGTAAGACTTTCCTGTAGGTTTACTGGACTTCTCCTTAGAAAGGTGGCCTTGCTGGTTTGACTGTCTTAGACCATAGCCAGGCGTGTGTTTGTTTTGGGGAAGTGATTTTTTTCCTACTAACAGTGTTGTCAATGGTCTTTAAATTGATCATGAAGTTTTTATCAAAAATTGCATTACCTGTGTCATTTTCAAGGGCTTTTCTTCTGCAGAGCTCTAGTAGCTCTTTAGCAATTCGCCTCTGAGTCGTGGGCAGATACAGCGCTGCTCTGCACACTCGTCTTTGTGTTAGCTTGCAGCCTAACATTGCCTGTGCAGCTGTGAAGTAGCAGGTAACATAGGAGCTATTCAGCTCTTGGACACTAATGTTTTTAGGGACATGAAGAAAGCTAATATCATAATCAGTGTTGTTTTTGGCAGGCATTTTAGATTTAGTTTTAGTCTTAGTCATTTTGACGAAATGCTTCTTCGTTTTAGTCCCATTTTAGTCATTTCTATCCTCATAGTTTTCGTCTAGTTTTAGTCCGACGAAAACTCAAAAGGTTTTAGTCTAGTTTTAGTCGACGAAAAGGTGCCTTTTGAGGTTCGTGGTGTTCTTTCCCGACAGTTTGAAGCCGCAGCATGAGGAAGCTGTTGCTCCACAACTGTCTTCTGTCTCGTCTCCCCGTCCCCGTACAAGACATTGCGTTTTATTGTCACTTGGACTGTATCTGAAGTAGGACCATAAAGCATCCCTCTTTTTTCGGCCACCGGGCACCGCTGCTGTGCCTGCCGCCATGGTGTGTGTGTGCGCGCCTCGTCCACCTGCCGCTCTGTGTATGTGAATGAGTGTGTGCGCGCAGCTGTGCGCGAGCGAGGCTTTTGGTGCGTGTGTGATGGGGGCGTGACTGTTAGGACAAAAGAAAGCATGTTTTGAAACTTTGTTCGTCCACCTAATAACAATTTAGTCTCGTCTCGTCTGACGAAAATGAATACAATTTTCGTCACATTTTAGTCTTTACAGAGCTTTGGTGACGTTCGTCTTAGTCTCATTTTCGTCAAGGAAAAAAGGGGTCTGACGTCGTCATTTAAGTTTTCGTCCTGCCTGACGAAAACAACACTGATCATAATTAGCTTTCTTACGAGCATTGCAATCCGCTAACGCACACGCTTGTTCCACGCTTGTCCTCTGTATTTCTCCTCCATATGTAGAGTGTGGCCTGCATAGCGGGGCTCCGGGGGCGGAGCTTGGACTGGTTACGTATGAATTCTCACTGTTTCTGAACCTGCCGTTTGGGTCTGCCAGAGATTCACAGTGATTTGAATGAAGCAAATACTCAGATATTGATCTTTTGGCATATCATAAAATATTAGATATAAAACAACAATGCTCCAACTCTTACTACGTGTTGAGCCCCTTTAATGCCTTTTGTATTATAAAAGTTTTTAACAGTAGCCCCTGAAAATAACATTCGACCACTTCTTGGTCCCCATGCTGCCGTTAAAGTTCGCCTCACTGCAGTTCAGCACCATGAAACAGACTTATGCAGCAGTGTTTTCTTTAAATGTATCCAAAACCCATATCAAGGCAAACTTATTCGTTTAAAGAGCCGTGCTAGGCTGCAGCTTAACTCTCACATTGGGCACAACATCAGAAATATTGAAATCACTCATCTGTAGCTTCTGCCCTGTAGCTTTAGATATTCGGGGCAAAAAGCTCTTGGCCTTAATTCTAAGAAAATGAACAGGTTAACCTGCCAGTGGTTGTGGATGCCTCGAGGCTTTTTCCATGAAAATTGCAACAACAGAATTATAATTTTATACGTATAAAAATAATTCTCTCTTTACATTTCCTCAAATGAAAGCATTTCTCAACCCTGCAGTTCATAAATTGGACAATAATAATGTTTATTTAATTTTTTCTTTACATTCTGAATTGGTTTGAAATTGGTTTAGGATGAAGTTTGTTGGAAACATTCAGGTTGTCGACACACTAAAAGATTTACGATGGGATTAAAGGTGCAAACGAAAGTCTTTTCCAGAACTTTTGGCACCTTATTTCCAGCAGCAGTAAATTATGTCACTTGTCAGTTTGCAGGAGTGAATCCCAGTTATCAAAGGTCATACTGTGTAGTCTGACACTTCCACTGCAGCCAAAGCAATGTTTAGAGTCGAGAGAAATGTTCTCTGGACATGTTCAGCGTAAAAAAACAACCCTATCAAAAGAAGCAGCTGAGGTTTTCAGCCTTCAATAGTAAAAAGTTGAAGACATCCTGGAAATGCAAAGCAGCCAATTATGTCGGCTGTGTAAACCGGTGTTATTCAGAAAACACATCGCAGACATGCCAGTTTGTGTCTGTGAACTGTTGCATTAAATGGACTTTATTTTAAGGCTCATGTGGTCAGCAGTAGATAGATTCCTAACAAAGGTTGCCAAATCCCGCCCTTCCCTGATACTCTACAAAGCGGGATCCTGCTGCGTATAATATTACTTCTCATTTAATTTAGATTAGGGCTGAAATGGTTCCTAGAATAACTGGAGTAACTCAATTATTAAAACACCTTTAGGGAAATTATGTGCCTGGAGGCAAATAATTCGCCTCAAGCCTTCGTTTAAATCCAGGCGTTACATCAAATTGCGTTCCAAGCACTGTGCATGAAAGTCCAGAACAACTATCGGACACAAGTTGCGACTAGCCTGATACACCCAATAACATGCATTTACCAGCACACAAAGAATATATCCATAATCTAGATTAAAATCTTTGAATTAATTAATTTCTCTATGTGATCATAAACTGGGACAGTGCACCATTGTCAACCCACTGTGCCAACATTGAGGAAAAGAGATCCCTGTATATGTGATTATTTATGAGTGTATACAGACATGTAGGGCCTTGGAGCTGTCTAAATATTCATTGTATGTTTTATTTGTTCTTGTGGTTCCCATATTCTTTTGTATCATCAACCATGAGTGGCAAAGAAACGACGTTCCCTCTCATTGTTGTTTCAACCTTTAAATCTATCTAGAAAGCAGCTCTCCCTGTCACTTCTAGACATCATCCTGATCAACTTTCAGGAGACTAATGATGATAGTTACTGTGCATGTGAGGTGATGTTTCACTCGCACATAACACTAAACTGACCACTCATTTTCCTCCTTCCGGGACGCACTAGACAACCCGATGCCTTACAGTGTTTTCTCTGTGGCGGTGTGCAGGGGCGTGCCCGCACCTTTTTGACTGGAAGCTCTAAAATAGGTGAGAGTGGCCATCATTCTGTTAGTCTTCACTATCTACTTTAACTATTATCATTAAAGTGTCATGGCACTCAGACCGTGAGGCCAGCAGCTCCATTTCTTATTAGATTACTGTATTACTTACTAGAAGAATCTGGCGCTGCAGTGCTTAAGCCAAACTTTCTGACAGATCTATCACTCACACAGCAGTATGAGTCCAAACACAGCACAGAGCAGAGTTTGGACTTTTCCGATAGGAATCATTGAAAGAATGATCACAGTAAGAATATCTACCTCCATGTCTATCTATATGTTTCTGTCTATAGAATGAAACTTGTTTTCATCTAGCCAGGAGAAAGACAGTTTATAAAAACTGCAATGAATGCCGTCAAGCATTCCTGTGTTATTTCACCCTACAAGTCTGAAATAACTGGCCACGTCAAGGGTCAGGTCTTGTCTTGATAAGTTTGGTGCTTCAAACTTAGTCCAGAGCTTTGAAGAGAACTGAAGGCACAAATGAGAATGTCAGTGCCACAGGTTACAGGCTATCCCCCCAAGCTAAGATGTGCTTAAAAATTCATAGAGTATTGATCCCTACACTCGAGCAAAGTAAAATACCACGTTCAAAGGCAATATTGATGTATACAGTACCTGAAGTATGATGTTTCAGATATAAGTTCAGCAGAACACATATCGTAGGTCCAAGAGGAGGGCTACCCAGGTCATAGTTATTACTCATGTGATGTGCAAGTTTTCTAACCTGTGCATTACAGCTTTTATTTTTCTCTTATAAAAGGCGCAGTGGAAGAAAAAAGAGAAAGCAGTGACACTAAACCTGTGGGTTCATTCTTGTGGTTTTCAGTGTGATCAGCCACACTTGGGCAAACAGAACAAAAATGTGAAATACTTAATCATTTAAAGAAGAAACCAAAACTAAGCTGTTCTCTACCAAAAACAATTGCCATGTTTATGAAAAACTCACTAAACTGGTCATTTGCTTTACTCAATCCCACAACTGCAATTCCAGGCCACAGCTTATTCATGCTTAGCGATAAAAACTAATCATGCAAATGGCTTCAGGAGTGCCACTTTTGTCCCCTCACAGGTGACACTCAGTGCCCACACAGCACATGCATTCACATGAGCACACACACATCCACGCATAAGGAACACAGGTCTGTAAGCATATACTGTGGACAAACATTTCACAATTTCCATAAAAGTGTTGTTAACAGGGATTCCATCATGTAGGAGCTGCCGTACTACATGAGTGGTATACAATCAGTGCAAAAAGTAATCCATAAAATAACCGTGCACTTGTCCAAAGTGTAATTTCCACTTCAAGATGTGATTACAGTTTCTGAGAGAAGCAAATTGAAATACTGTTTATATATTTTTTACCCAGCTTTGATTCTCTCATCATCAACATCCTGACCACCTCAAGAATGATATCGATGAACTATTTAATGTAGTTTTTGTTTGCCTCACAAAACTAATGTTGTTTTTTTAGTGACTGACTAATCCAACACCCAAAATCGCTGCAGTTTGCCTTCGGTCAGAGACACAGCTATACAGCTATAAATTAAGAATACACAAAAATAGTATATGCAAAATAGATCCAAACATGGTGTAAATGTAACCTTGAAATGCTAATATTTTGCAAGTCTCAAGAGTTTCCCTGACAGATAGTCGTAAGAATAGTTTGATGTTTATGTAAATCACATCTTGCTGACAGATGTAATGCTGTCTTTGGAAGTGCAAACAAAGAAAAACGGGGAAGCACTGAAGAGCATGTCTATTGTTGCGACAGCTTGTGTCCCCAGCATCTGGCATCAAGCGGGAACAGCATGTCAACATTAATGAAATGTTACTTTTATTGATCTACAGCATGGAGTATATAAATATATACTTCTTTAGAAACAGCAGGCACTCGTATAGTAACCAGCAGCAAGTGCAAGCTCAGTTTGCAAAGTTTCTGAAGTTTTAGGTCTGCAAACTCAGAAGACAAGATTTCAGCCACACTGTACGACAATTTAAAAACAAATGTTCGGCGCACGGTTTAGGGAATAGATAATCTTAATGTCTTCCTCGCTATATTCCGGGGCTTTAAATTCCAATCAATGAAGTGAAATTAAAGACCATGTGAATGAGTTTCAGTGCAAGTCGACTGAGCGGACTTGTTAGTGGGAGCACGGGCACAGTGACAAGAGCGTGGCAGAGACTGCTCCCTCACTCTCCTCTCCCCATTTAATTTTCCAATCCACTTCCTCCACATAGTTAGGAGAAGTGAGTTTTGTTCTGGTTTGATACACCATCTAATGAGAGCTACTAAGAGCCTGTTGAAATCATCCCCTAATAACACATTCTGAAGGCTGCGAATGAGGAATATTTTTTCCTCTATCTCTCCATTCAGGGTTTAATATATTCTCTCACTCACCTCTGTTCCATTTCCCTTCCTCCACTGTGTTTCTACACTTTCATTAACTGTATTTTACGGAGAAAAAGATTCTCAACAATCATTACACTTTGATTTGATGTGATTTTAACAAGAACTGCATCTGGCTTCAATCTATGCAACAACTGGCTCATAAAAAATTCTACTAAGAAACATCACAAGAGTACAACATTAGCCTTACAGTTTAAACATTTCTATCCAGAGATTCATGTGTTCACCAAAGTGTAAATTCCAAAC